ATCTCTCACTAACACGTTCTACTTCGTGTCAGTAATATCTCTCACTAACACATTCTACTTCGTGTACAGTGGTATCTCTCACTTACACGTTATACTTCGTGTCCAGTATTATTTATCACTGACCCCTTTTACTTCGTGACTAGTGACATCTCTCACTAACACGTTTTTCTTCGTGTCCAGTGATATCTCTCACTAACACGTACTTCTTCGTGTCCAGCGATATCTCTAACTAACACATTCTTCTTCGTGTCCTGTAGTATCGCTCACGAACACGTTCTACTTCGTGTCCAGTGATATCCCTCACTTACACGTTCTACTTCGTGTCCAACACGTTCTACTTCGTGTCCAGTGGTATTTCTCACTAACACGTTCTATTTGGTGTCCAGTGATATCTCTCACTAAAACGTTCTACTTCGTATCCAGTGATATCTCTCACTTACATGTTCTACTTAGTGTCCACTGATATCTCTCACTAACACGTTCTACTTCGTGTCAGTAATATCTCTCACTAACACATTCTACTTCGGGTACAGTGGTATCTCTCACTAACACGTTCTACTTCGGGTACAGTGGTATCTCTCACTAACACGTTCTACTTCGGGTACAGTGGTATCTCTCACTTACACGTTCTACTTCGTGTCCAGTGATATCTCTCGCTAACACGTTCTTCTTCGTGTCCTGTAGTATCGCTCACGAACACGTTCTACTTCGTGTCCAGTGATATCCCTCACTTACACGTTCTACTTCGTGTCCAGTATTATTTATCACTGACCCCTTTTACTTCGTGACTAGTGACATCTCTCACTAACACGTTTTTCTTCGTGTCCAGCGATATCTCTCACCAACACGTTCTTCTTCGTGTCCTGTGGTATCTCTTACTAACACGTTCTACTTCGTGTCCAGTCTATCACTTACACGTTCAACTTCGTGTCCAGTGATATCTCTCACTTACATGTTCTACTTATTGTCCAGTGATATCTCTCACTAACACGTACTTCTTCGTGTCCAGCGATATCTCTAACTAACACGTTCTTCTTCGTGTCCTGTAGTATCGCTCACTAACACGTTCTACTTCGTGTCCAGATCTCTCACTAACACGTTCTACTTCGTGTACAGTGGTATCTCTCACTAACACTTTCTACTTCGTGTCCAGTGATATCTATCACTTACACGTTCTACTTCGTGTCCAGTGATATCCCTCACTTACACGTTCTACTTCGTGTCCAACACGTTCTACTTCGTGTCCAGTGGTATTTCTCACTAACACGTTCTATTTGGTGTCCAGTGATATCTCTCACTAAAACGTTCTACTTCGTATCCAGTGATATCTCTCACTTACATGTTCTACTTATTGTCCAGTGATATCTCTCACTAACACGTACTTCTTCGTGTCCAGCGATATCTCTAACTAACACATTCTTCTTCGTGTCCTGTGGTATCTCTTACTAACACGTTCTACGTCGTGTCCAGTGATATCTCTCACTAACACGTTTTTCTTCGTGTCCAGTGATATCTCTCACTAACTCGTTCTTCTTTGTGTCCAGCGATATCTCTCACTAACACGTTCTTCTTCGGGTCCAGCGATATCTGTAACTAACACGTTCTTCTTCGTGTCCTGTGGTATCTCTCACTAACACATTCTACTTCGGGTACAGTGGTATCTCTCACTAACACGTTCTACTTCGGGTACAGTGGTATCTCTCACTAACACGTTCTTCTTCGGGTCCAGCGATATCTCTCACTAACACGTTCTTCTTCGGGTCCAGCGATATCTGTAACTAACACGTTCTTCTTCGTGTCCTGTGGTATCTCTCACTAACACATTCTACTTCGTGTACAGTGGTATCTCTCACTTACACGTTCTACTTCGTGTCCAGTATTATTTATCACTGACACGTTCTACTTCGTGTCCAGTGATATCTCTCACTAACACGTTTTTCTTCGTGTCCAGTGATATCTCTCACTAACACGTTCTTCTTTGTGTCCAGCGATATCTCTCACTAACACGTTCTTCTTCGTGTCCTGTGGTATCTCTCACTAACACGTTCTACTTCGTGTCCAGTGATATCTCTCATTAACACGTTCTTCTTCGTGTCCTGTGGTATCTCTTACTAACACGTTCTACTTCGTGTCCAGTAATATCTATCACTTATACGTTCTTCTTCGTGTCCAGTGATATCTCTCAATAACACGTTCTTCTTCGTGTCCAGTGATATCTCTCACTAACACGTTCTTCTTCGTGTCCTGTGGTATCTCTCACTAACACGTTCTACTTCGTGTCCAGTGATATCTCTCACTAACACGTTCTACTTCGTGTCCTGTGGTATCTCTCACTAACACGTTCTACTTCGTGTCCAGTGATATCTCTCACTAACACGTTCTTCTTCGTGTCCAGTGATATCTCTCACTAACACGTTCTTCTTCGTGTCCTGTGGTATCTCTCACTAACACGTTCTACTTCGTGTCCAGTGATATCTCTCACTAACACGTTCTACTTCGTGTCCTGTGGTATCTCTCACTAACACGTTCTACTTCGTGTCCAGTGATATCTCTCACTAACACGTTCTTCTTCGTGTCCAGTGATATCTCTCACTAACACGTTCTTCTTCGTGTCCAGTGATATCTCTCACTAACACGTTCTTCTTCGTGTCCTGTGGTATCTCTCACTAACACGTTCTACTTCGTGTCCAGTGATATCTCTCATTAACACGTTCTTCTTCGTGTCCTGTGGTATCTCTTACTAACACGTTCTACTTCGTGTCCAGTAATATCTATCACTTATACGTTCTTCTTCGTGTCCAGTGATATCTCTCAATAACACGTTCTTCTTCGTGTCCAGTGATATCTCTCACTAACACGTTCTTCTTCGTGTCCTGTAGTATCGCTCACTAACACGTTCTACTTCGTGTCCAGTGATATCTCTCATTAACACGTTCTTCTTCGTGTCCTGTGGTATCTCTTACTAACACGTTCTACTTCGTGTCCAGTAATATCTATCACTTATACGTTCTTCTTCGTGTCCAGTGATATCTCTCAATAACACGTTCTTCTTCGTGTCCAGTGATATCTCTCACTAACACGTTCTTCTTCGTGTCCTGTGGTATCTCTCACTAACACGTTCTACTTCGTGTCAGTAATATCTCTCACTAACACATTCTACTTCGTGTCCTGTGGTATCTCTCACTAACACGTTCTACTTCGTGTCCAGTGATATCTCTCACTAACACGTTCTACTTCGTGTCCAGTGATATCTCTCACTTATACTCTCTACTTCTTCTCCCGTGATATCTCTAACTTATCCTTTCCACTTCGTCTCCCCATATTTCTCACAATATTTTTCAAATATGCCCCTCTTCCGATGTCTCTCACCTAGACTTTCTCCTCCGTCACTCTTGCTATCTCTCACTTACACTTTTATACCTTTTCTCCAGTGATATCTCTCACTTAGCCTTTTCAGACCATCTTTTTGCTTCGTCTCTAAAGACAACTCTCGCTTAGCTTTTCTACTGCATCCTTCTTGGCCCCTTCCGTAACTATCCGGTAGATTTTATTGAAGGCTGGTGTATGGTGAAACATGGCAACGTAAACCTATGACAGGATTTTCAAATCGTTTGACTAAGGCTCCTTAACAATTTAGCACATATCCCAATTTCGCGATATAAAATGCTGTGTTGTGTCGTAAGTAATGTAAAATATGCTATCAAGAGATTAAAAAAATGCACAAGTTCGATTTTAGATAATACATTTCTATTTCAACGTTTCGTTGATCAGATATAGATTATCAAATCTCTATAACAAAACACCGTTTACAGCAGGAATATATCGACGTCTGTATTGATATTACAGTTGTACGGATTACCGTCTTATTCTTGTTGTAATGATAAATCAATATCTATAGTTACGTTTAGTTTTTATTCCGCCGATTTTGGATAAAGATTATACATTTATTTGAATCGGATTCAGAAGTGAAAGTATATTTTTCAAATAACTCATTTCAACATGAAAGAAAGAGGTGTGAGGTCGTCCATGACTAGTCTTGTGTGTATCTTCAGGTATTTTATTCTATCAGATAGATATTGAATTACACTAACTGTTTGAAACATTTGTATGTTTATAAACTCATTGCAATTTGTATTAGTTCTCAAAGATATCTAAAACCGTATATATTAAATGTTTTATGAACATGACTATTTGCATACTAGAAGAGGTCAGTTGGCGTTTTATATTTTCGGTATCCTTGTGATATTTCTTATTCTTTTGTGGTGTTTGTTTAAGGGAAAGTTAATAATTTTATGTTTTTTCATTGGTCTAGGTACAAACAATGTTAAAAATATCGATAATGTGGCTTCAAGAGCATGTTTTCAAAGGTAACACGCACTTGTTTTGATATTATGACTTTAAGGTGGCTCGACACATCGTCATCAGCGTCCATTTTCGTGACATACTTCCGGAAANTACTTTTTAATAAAAATTGCATATACAATTCGATGCATCATGTATACACTTAGTTGAAGTATTGTATTTTATTTAACTGAAAAATACGAAAGTGATTACGTATTTTGTAACGAACAGACCAAATTGTTACTCATTATTTCCGAATTCATAAAATCACGTTTTTCTTTGTGACACCAACAGTGTGTTTATTGAATTAATGAATTAAGAATACAAAATATCTTAAGAATAACATTAATTTATTCCTGAAACACCTAAGATACGTGGCCTCCTGTTATGCATTATACCTGTTAAGTTTTCAAATTAAACACCTTTTCATTGTACTTGGTAATCATTCAGAATAAACTCTTGTTAATTATTTATGGTACGAATATGCAGCCTATTGAATATCATTTTTTTAAAATATGCTAATTTTGTCTCAGCTTATCTAGTACTGACATACTTGAAATACATGTAGTCATAAACAGAACTAATGGCTCGATATTTGTTTTGCATGCGTTTGGCTTTATGAGCCTTTTAAACATTTAACAATAGACAAATTGACTTACCAGAGCGGCCTTGGAAGACTTGGGGTTTTCCAGGGCTAGCCATATCTTGTAGCGGATACTGTCCCGATTAATTTCATCAATCTCATCTTCCTTCATCTTAAGTCCATTTACACTGTTTGCTTTCCTTAAATTTTCCATTACTTCTGTAGTGTCGTCAATTTCGTAGTAGGCTTTCCAACAACATTCGGAAATACAAGATACGGGAATCTTCCAAAATTCCATTTCTTTCCGGAATACTGTACCGCAAATATTCTTCGGCACATGGAGCTCGTGCATTGTATATAGATTTAATATTGAGTTAAAAATATCCGGATCCCTTTCAAAGAAATACTCGTCATTTTCCTCGTCCCAGTATTCTGAATTATGATTAAGGGATGCCAACAAGGATTTCGGAAAGAACCTTAAGGTAGAACATCTCGTTTCAAATCGGACACCTCTGATGTTAATCTTTACCTTGACTTTTGTCAGGTTCTCGGTCGTCATGTTTTGTCACAGTAGTACTGTCACAGTAGTACTGTACTAACATGTATATGGTTACTCTAGCACACGCGTGTTCAGTAAATACAACTCGGTTTAAATACCAGGTCCTCCTCACAAATTATGTGAATGGATGTCACGTGCATATGTTTCCAACCTACTGATTAGCATATCTTTTGTTTTGGTATTGGATTCCACTGGAAGAAGGTGGTCCACGGGTTCGACCGGAAGCCACCTATAGCACGTAATTAAGAACATGTCAACAGAGCACACAATAGTTACAACAACCTATATCAACGTACAAACGATATACTCTTATGAATAATACATACACGTACGATGCTTATGATTTAGATCCCAAACACTCTATAATACAGCACATTAAACACATTCTGCCAAATGAATTCAGTCTTGGAACAATGCAAAACAATGCATTATTTTCATAGCTTACAGATACAGATCGACCGGGAAACACGGTATAGGCTAACGTGATAGCACGTCTCCAGGTTTTACCAAGTGTATGTAACATGGATTATATATATATACATGGTAACAGCATTAGATATACTACAGACTGAACCACTGTTATGCATCATGTACTGTCGTTTTGTAAGTAAAATGAGTTAAATTTATATATACACATTCAAATTGTGGTCAGATCGTATTTCGTTTTAAATGAACGTATAGGCACTCTATTGGAATCCTATACAAAGTAAGTAACATATGGAACTATGTCGGTAACACTGCCTAAATCTCAGTGTAAGCAGATGTCAATCATATACACGTGGTTGAACAACACAGTGACCACAGTTACCACGCGACTGGTAGTGTACATTTCAATGGATCAGTATATAACAGACTGTCATTGTACGTTAGAGAGACTGACTGTACCACGCTTTCAGTATAGCTGACAATATTTCTACGTGTTTACTAAAGTCGAGAGTAACTACTAGTCAACTGAAGCCGACAGTAACTACCAGTCAACTAAAGCTGACAGTAACAACCGGTCAACAAAAGCCGACATTAATAACCAGTCAACTAAAGCTGACAGTAACATTAAGTGAACTAAAGCCGACATTAATAACCAGTCAACTAAAGCTGACAGTAACAACCGGTTAACTAAAGCTGACATTAACAACCGGTTAACTAAAGCTGACAGTAACAACTAGTCAACTGAAGCTGACAGTAACAACCGGTTAACTAAAGCCGACAGTAACAACCAGTCAACTAAAGCTGACAGTAACAACCGGTCAACTAAAGCTGACAGTAACAATAAGTCAACTAAAGCTGACAGTAACAACCAGTCAACGAAAGCTGACAGTTACAACCGGTCAACTAAATCCGACAGTAACAACCAGTCAACTAAATCCGAGAGTAACAACCAGTCAACTAAAGCTGACAGTAACAATAAGTCAACGAAAGCTGACAGTAACAATAAGTCAACTAAAGCTGACAGTAATAACCAGTCAACTAAAGCCGACATTAATAACCAGTCAACTAAAGCTGACAGTGACAATAAGTCAACTAAAGCTGACAGTAACAATAAGTCAACGAAAGCTGACAGTAACAATAAGTCAAGTAAAGCTGACAGTAATAACCAGTCAACTAAAGCCGACATTAATAACCAGTGAACTAAAGCTGACAGTGACAATAAGTCAACTAAAGCTGACAGTAACAATCAGTCAACGAAAGCTGACAGTAACAATAAGTCAACGAAAGCTGACAGTAACAACCAGTCAACTAAAGCCGATAGTAACAACCGGTCAACTAAATCCGACAGTAACAACCAGTCAATTAAAGCTGACAGTAACAACCAGTCAACTAAATCCGACAGTAACAACCAGTCAACTAAAGCTGACAGAAATAACCAGTCAACTAAAGCCGACAGTAACAACAAGTCAACTAAAGCCGATAGTAACAACCAGTCAACTAAATCCGACAGTAACAACCAGTCAACTAAAGCTGACAGTTACAACCGGTCAACTAAATCCGACAGTAACAACCAGTCAACTAAAGCTGACAGTAACAACCGGTCAACTAAATCCGACAGTAACTACCCGTCAACTAAAGCCGATAGTAACAACTGGTCAACTAAATCCGACAACCAGTCAACGAAAGCTGACAGTAACAACCAGTCAACTAAATCCGACAGTAACAACCAGTCAACAAACGCTGACAGTTACAACCGGTCAACTAAATCCGACAGTAACAACCAGTCAACAAAAGCCGACAGTAACAACCAGTCAACTAAAGCTGACAGTTACAACGGGTCAACTAAATCCGAGAGTAACAACCAGTCAACTAAAGCTGACAGTAACAACCAGTCAACTAAAGCAGACAGTTTCAACCGGTCAACTAAATCCGACAGTAACAACCAGTCAACAAAAGCCGACAGTAACAACCAGTCAAATAAAGCTGACAGTAACAACCAGTCAACTAAATCCGACAGTAACAACCAGTCAACAAAAGCCGACAGTAACAACCGGTCAACTAAATCCGACTGTAACAACCAGTCAACTAAAGCTGACAGTAACAATAAGTCAACTAAAGCTGACAGTAACAATAAGTCAACTAAAGCCGACATTAATAACCAGTCAACGAAAGCTGTCAGTAACTACCAGTCAACTAAAGCTGACAGTAATAACCAGTCGACGAAAGCTTTAGTTGACTGGTTGTTACTGTCAGCTTTAGTTGACTTATATACAGACATTTCCACTACAGTAAAAACCAGTCAACTAAAGCTGACAGTAACATCCAGTCATCTAAAGCTTTCGTTGACTGGTTATTACTGTCAGCTTTCGTTGACTGGTTATTACTGTCAGCTTTAGTTGACCGGTTATTACTGTCAGCTTTAGTTGACTGGTTATTACTGTCAGCTTCAGTTGGCCGGTTATTACTGTCAGCTTTAGTTGACTGGTTATTACTGTCAGCTTTAGTTGGCCGGTTATTACTGTCAGCTTTAGTTGACTGGTTATTACTGTCAGCTTCAGTTGGCCGGTTATTACTGTCAGCTTTAGTTGACTGGTTATTACTGTCAGCTTCAGTTGGCCGGTTATTACTGTCAGCTTTAGTTGACTGGTTATTACTGTCAGCTTCAGTTGGCCGGTTATTACTGTCAGCTTTAGTTGACTGGTTATTACTGTCAGCTTCAGTTGGCCGGTTATTACTGTCAGCTTTAGTTGACTGGTTATTACTGTCAGCTTTTGTTGACTGATTGTTACTGTCGGCTTTAGTTGACTGGTTATTACTGTCGGCTTTAGTTGACTGGTTATTACTGTCGGCTTTAGTTGACTGGTTATTACTGTCGGCTTTAGTTGACCGGTTGTAACTCTCAGCTTTAGTTGACTGGTTGTTACTGTCGGCTTTAGTTGACTGGTTGTTACTGTCCGCTTTCGTTGACTGGTTGTTACCGTCGGCTTTTGTTGACCGGTTATTAATGTCGGCTTTAGTTGACTGGTTGTCACTATCGGCTTTCGTTGACTGGTTATTACTGTCAGCTTTAGTTGGCCGGTTATTACTGTCAGCTTTAGTTGACTGGTTATTACTGTCAGCTTCAGTTGGCCGGTTATTACTGTCAGCTTTAGTTGACTGGTTATTACTGTCAGCTTCAGTTGGCCGGTTATTACTGTCAGCTTTAGTTGACTGGTTATTACTGTCAGCTTCAGTTGGCCGGTTATTACTGTCAGCTTTAGTTGACTGGTTATTACTGTCAGCTTTATTTGGCCGGTTATTACTGTCAGCTTTAGTTGACTGGTTATTACTGTCAGCTTTAGTTGACTGGTTATTACTGTCAGCTTTAGTTGACTGGTTGTTACTGTCAGCTTTAGTTGACTGGTTTTTACTGTAGTGGAAATGTCTGTATGCGTGTGATTTTGTTGAGTTTTCTGCAGTGTATAGCGAAACGGAATTTGTCTGATCCTTTTCGTCGTACTAGAACTACAGGAGAAGTGAATTCTGGGTTTGTAGCTGGACAAATAATGTTATTCTCCAGCATAACATCTCGGCTCTATTAACAGGATTTTTCATCGCCTGTGTCTATGACATTTTTATATACCGACGTGTGTCCTTATTCTGACATGTTCGCCGCAAACGCTTGTCGGTTCTTGTGAACCAGACGCAGCAGCCTTTGCTTCTGTTGTGGTGTTAGGTCAGTCTGTTCTAAATCAAATTTTAACTTTTTGAACCATGATGAGAACATAGATCATAATCTGTGGTAATAGCACTAGCAACACAAGTCGCATTAACAACAGTAGAGACTGGATAATGAGATGGAATATGAATGACTGAATGTGATGTGTTAATGAGCTGCATGCATGCTCTGTTTATCGGTTGTACTAAAAACATGCAGCGTCTAAAAGTTGACGATCTTGCAATGATTTATTTGGTTCTGAAAGTATCTCTTTGCCAAGTTTGTTGGTATTTATGTGTATTGAAATGGCACAAATGCTGTATGGCGGTATAGTTAATGACCTTTTAATCCAAGCAAACTTCTCACCTGGGTGAATGAGTGGGACTGAAAGTTCTTAATCCCAGATTAAGAGAAGCATTGTTAGCTTGAAGAAAATCTAAACCCACTATTACATTGACATATTTTCCCTTGCGCTGGGCATCTAAACCTATCTGTACATCGCCCGCCACATCCCTGACATGGGAAATTTTAACTGGGGTTGGGTTGATGTGAGGGTGACATGTTGTGACGATAACTGTGTTGACATAGGGTTTGGGTAAGGTGTGGGTGGTGTGGACGGGGTGAAAATGGATCGAATAGCGAGATCTGGGTTCAGGATGATAATGAGTATATGGTTTTTGAAAAGGTGGCCTGGGATAATGCCTTTGGGATTGCTGGTGAGGTTCTGCTACGCACAAACTATGCACCATCTCCTCTAGCGAGGCTATTCTGGCCAAGATAAGTTCTGTCGAGATATCTGACTGCGCGGTTTTAACTGAGCCTGTAGTAACGACCATTGCCTTTCCTGCCAAAATAGACATGTTACGTAAGTAGTCTAAAGATTGTGGTTCCTTATAGGCCACAACTGATTTTATTTCTGAATGGTCCTTACTACAGGCTCAGTTAATACCGCACAGTCAGATATCCCAACAGAACTTCTCTTGGGAACAGTTTGTGCGTAGCAGAACCTCACCAGCAATCCCCTAAGGCATTATCCCAGGCACGATATCAAACACGTTTTGCCTACCGAATGGGTCTGTTGAAGCGGCTGGCTCTGCCTCGATGTCCTCGTTGACGGAGATGTCGTCGTTGGCGAAGATGTTGTCATCTCCGGGACTGTACTGGACGAAGGGGTTGAGGTTCAGGGATGGCTGAGTCAGAACGGGACTGTTGGCAGAGTCCTGTCGATCTCTGGAGTATCGTTCAAAAATTCAATGGCCTGTTCCGTCGGAGGTTGACGTAAGTGAGAGGTAGCGTTTCAATTATCCAGTCTGACCTTAAAATATAAGCAAGGCGATCTTTAGATTTTTATTCCCAAAATGATTGTTTGGGAGAGATCGAGTCTTTTTTTCTTTTCTTTTTTTCTATTTTTTTTTTATTCCCCCAGTATCTTTGGGAGGGATGCCAGGGTTGAGGTGCCCTGAGATCTGCAAAAAGCCTATTTCTCTTCATTCTCTTTCTTTTTCATTCATTCTTTCATACTCAAACTCAAAATCATTCATTCTTTCATACGTTTATTTCATTCATTACAATAACGATAACATTTATTTTGATTAAATTGATATATTAAATTACATCAACCATTCCTTCTTTATAGATCGAGCCTTTTTATGCTCAGCACCATAGCGATGGTCAATTGTCTAACTGCTTGACCAATAAATGCAGAATTTCGCACCATGTGATCCTGGTCACCAAGGGTCGGTTAGGTACCCTTGTTTTGGTGATATGCCCGGGATAATATATTAACTTACCATGTCACTATGTTCTTGTTTAACCGTGTTATGTATAAGAACAAGTTGAACGAGACTGTTTACATATAAATACATATATCAAAGTACAAAGTCCGACAGTTCTGGACATCATGACCTTAGTATTAGATTGACTTTACAATTACTAGTCGGCTTCATTATGTACTTTCCTTAATCCTTGACAATTGTGACTTTTTTATCTTTCAATTAAGCCGAGACCTGGAGTATAAACTGTATGAATCCTACGACCATTGACATTGGATTTTGTTTGATAATTCCATATACTGTATCAATAGCATGTTCGCTACACTTGATTTACACAATAACACAATATCTTGATATACATTCTTTATCAAATTGTTACTATACAATAATCACAATTAAAATATAAAATCCATCGTAATAGTTAGTACGTATTAACTAAAGGTTAAGCTAACCACGCGTTAACTAAAGATGACAGTAACTACATGTACGTGTTAAATATTACTGACAGTAGCCACGTGTTAAATATTACTGACAGTAGCCACGTGTTAAATATTACTGACAGTAGCCACGTGTTAAAGAAACCTGACAGTAACTAATTTCTCCCCGACTCTCAACTTGGGTTTTGATAAAACGTAACACCGACGTCGTGTACAAAATAAACTTGACCCTGCTTTTGAAAGGGCGGATAATTGAAACTGTATGCAAAAGTTTCACTGCAAGTTTGTTTACTAATTCTTTATTTACATGAGGCTTTGTCAATTACCGACAGTGTCTGGCAGTAGATATTCGTCACTGATCAAAATGACGCAACATATCATATTGGGGCTACGTCATCTATCACAACGTCGTCCAGCAGGAAACAACAGAAACGACCTGGAGGTTGTCGAGATCGTGCATCTATGTATATCAGCTATCTAACATATGGGTGTTTAACCTGCAGAAACTCATATCGCGTAAATACTGTAAATCTCTAAATTATTGCCAAGTACTTTTGAGGTTATGCTTCTAATTGGCTTTGCAATATTTCCTCAAATAATTGGGTATGTAATACTGCAAATTACCGCAGATGTAATTTTTAAGTATTTCGATTTCTTGGATTAAATGTTGGCAGTTATGCTAATAGAAGGAATTAATAGGTATTTAATTTTGTGCTGTACATAAAAATACCATAGATATAATAAGCTCTCTGTAAGCTCTCTGTAAACAAGACGACTAATCTACTGGCTTGTATTTAACGTATTTCCTTGTTATTAATCATAGCACAAAAACTGATCTTCCGAGAAATATACAAATATAGACACGATAAATGGCCTCAATTTGTGATATTTAATGCAGCAAGATAATGTATAATTGCCCTTGAATGAGGGTAACATGATTCTTTATTATTTGTACCTCAGATTAATTTCACGAGGGCAGACCCCGTGTTAAACATGATTGATTGAGGGGATTCAAGGAATATTGGTGTTTTTTTTTCAAATACAAGGCCAAGAAATATATTTACCAAATCAAAATAAAAAATAACACCACAAAGGATATAAGGATTACTCGGGGCCATCACTTGTTCTTTTTTAAAACATGTAAGACATTTTATCTCTCTCAAAGAGGATCCAGGAAGCTAAGGCCTCGGCAGAGAAAATGGATCACGTAAGAGAAACTCGAGCAGGTGAGGGAGACATGCTGTTGTATCACCCGGTCATGTGTAACATAGATGAGGTATATATACCACAGACAGTTATTGTAGTATATATCACATACAGTTATTGTAGTATATATACCACATATAGTTATTGTGGTATATATACCACAGACAGTTATTGTAGTATATATACCACAGACAGTTATTGATGATCTTTCCAGTATCCCAAGCATACCACAGGGATCGGAGCATTAATTACGTATCAAAGCATCAAAGCCATTTTGGTCTCTGTGGAGTATAACATATAGATAGATATTATACTGTACAATTGAACCGCGTTTGTTGAGGTACTGTCACCAAATGATAACTAAACACCGACAAATAAAATGTATAGACTTAATGATAGGAAGACATGTAAAATAAAAGCTCTAAACTATAAGCAACTGCATGGTATCCTTTTCGGACTTTCACAAACAGATTAAAATTAGACTTGTAATTCTGCTACTCTACGATACACTCCAATATCACTTCAATACTTCAGATGACGTCATGACAAAATGGATGGCAGGTGGGTCGTGTATCGCTGGTAAAACAAATTGAATTTTCACTGAGTTAAATGACAATGATGATGAGGATGACGATGGGGATGGTGATGACGGGGCTGATGCTGCTGCTGTTGATGCTGCTGCTGCTGCTGCTGATGATCTAAATAGGGAAATTACGCTTGATGAAGTAAATAAAAGTATCCAGGAGCTCAAAAGTGGTAAGTCACCGGGTATGGATCAGGTTTTGAACGAAAATATCAAATATCTACCTAATGAAGCACGTCTAGTAATATGTAAACTGTTTAACCTTATTTCTAACTCTGGAGTGATCCCTGAATACTGGACAATTGGGATAATAAAACCAGTTTATAATAAAAAGGGTGACCCTAAAGACCCAGATAATTACCGGGGTATCACACTGATAAGTTGTCTGGGAAAACTGTTTACACATATTTTGAACAACAGGCTTAATGACTACTCAGATAAACATGATATAATCTCTCCTAATCAAGCAGGTTTCCGTAAAGGTCACTCCACTGTTGACAATTATTCTTTCTGATTCTGCTGAAGGTTTGCAAAATGCTCTTAACGTTTTTCAGAAATACTGTGATATATGGAAATTAGAAGTTAATGTGAAGAAAACAAAAATACTTGTATTCTGTTAACGCAAATCTAATAATAACCATGTATTTAGAATTAGCGGTAAAGTTATAGAAGATGTGGCCAATTTTAGCTATCTGGGTGTGACATTTAATTACAATGGTAGCGTTTTGAAATGAAACGAAAGCCTTGTGAGCAAGCCTAAAAATCCATTTTTTCTGTGTATCGTAATATAAAAAATCAACCTCTTCCAAAAGACTTGCAACTTAAATTATTTCCTACTCTAGTTAGTCCTATATTGTTGTATGGATCTTGGATCTGAAATATGGGGTTACGAAAATATCAAAATAGTAGAACAAACTCATTAGAAATTTTGTAGACGAATTTTGGGCCTGCGAACTTCGACTCCAAACTTTATCATTTATGGTGAATTAGGTCAATATCCTCTTGAGATAGCTGTTAAGAATTATGACTTTTTATAACTCACTCTTAATGAATACCTCTAAACTTAGTTGCCATATGTATAGGTTAATGTTCAAACATCAAGCCAATAATTTGTGTAAGTTTAGATGGTTAGAATATATAAATATGTGTTTTGATAAAGTCGGACACAGTTCTATTTTTATAAACCAGGAACCTATTAGTAAATATTATATTAAAAACACTGTCAAACAATTTTTTATTGATCAATGTTTACAAAGATGGCATGCAAACATTCAAAAATCATCTCGAGGTGAACTGTTTGGTAACTTTAAGAAGAAACATGAACTTGAGCCTTATTTGACTCGCCTTTCTGATAAGAAGAAGCATGAACTTGAGCCTTATTTGACTCGCCTTTCTGAAAAAACCCAGATCAACATTATGCAAATGGAGATGCTCTAATATGAACTTTCCCATTGAAACGGGTAGGTGGCATACTATTCAAAAACAAGACCGAAAATGTACTCTATGTAAAAATGAGCTAGGCGACGAATTTCATTATTTATTCAAATGTACAAATTTAATAATTGTAGAGCTTAGAGAAAAAGATATTCCTCTGTGTTATAGAAAAAATCCGTCTCAAATTAAAATGAGTGTTCTGTTGTCATTTTGTAACACGACATGTACAGTATTAAATGGAATTTGTCTTTTGTTGAAAAACATTAACAAACTGTTGTAATATGTATCACGATTACTGTTTTGTGAACTTGCCATCTATTTTGTCATCACGTGTGTATTATTATACTCTGATACCTCATGTTGTACATTTTAATGTATCTGAGGAAAAACAATAAACCTGTAAACTTGTATCGCGGAGAAGCGGAGTTACAAGTCTAGTGTTAATTAGGTTGGGCCTTTCACTGTTGGAATAACGTAAGATCTCTAGATATGAATGCTATCTTTAGAGTATTACATTGTAGTTCAGGAATATTATCTACAAAAGAAAGCAGGTTGTCCAGAGGTATATATTCCAGATTAACGAGTTTCATCTGTATATACTTACACACGTACTGACACAAGTATGTACATTGACTTATATATATGACATATCACATGAGTATACCATGATGGAGCTGGTAGGACATTGTCCGCTTCACGTAACGTCCCCGAGAGTATCACACACATCACAATATACTCCGATCCAAGTCATGGTGAGCTGAGTTGATTAGTATCTGTCTAGTATCGTTAAGAACACATTGCACACAGTTGCTATCGGGAAACTGCCGTCAGATCTGCCGCATAAATATGTTGGTTTTTGAAGTCGTAAAACTCGAATTTTATAGCAGACTGTGAATTTACAGAATCCCTATAGGATGCAATTCTTGAATCGTTCATTCATGCAGTAAGGTTTTATATAACATCATCAACCATTGGAACCCCCAACATCAACATACACTCTCTACACGCTACAGACTCGTAAAACCACGGTACTTTATCTGTAAATCCACCACATGAAGTATGATGACATACATGTTGACAAGTATGCGTATATAAGTACGATGCCACCGGTGTTCTTTATTACGTTGATGAAACATATGTTTAAAACAGTTGGGAATTGTTTTCTATACATCTGTGTCTGTTTGCGTTTGTTTTTTTGTTTTTTTTTACATATTCTTACTATTTCCAGGCTGCAGCATATGTTTTTGTGTCAGTATGGTCGTGCTATTTTGGTACTTGCGATTTTTTATGAATACATTAAATATTTATTTTGTTTCAGTGACAGTTTTGTGTCTTGTCCCAACAGACTAACGCGTGTCACGGTGTATGACACGAATCACCATTAATCCATGTCTCACAACATAGATAGGGAAATCTAGCCCTTCACATGTTTAATAACAATTACAAATATACCGGTGCATATTGTCACGAATTCATTGTTTTCATATGTATAGGTACATTGCGCTCGTTATGTAATTCTGTAGTCGTTGTAGCATGTACAATTACAAAATGTATCTGTCTGAGTAACATGTATGCATACGCAATATATCTGTCGTAGTAACATGCATAATTTTTTGTCGTGGTAACATGTATTAATATCTCAAGTGGTAACATGTATTAGCAAGTGGTAACATTTATTAGTATCAGTCGAGGTAACATGTATTAGTATCTGTCGTGGTAACATGTATTAGTATCTGTCGTAGTAACATGTATTAGTATCTGTCGTGGTAACATGTATTAGTATCTGTCGTGGTAACATGTATAAGTATCAGTCGTGGTAACGTATTAGTATCTGTCGTAGTAACATGTATTAGTAACAGTCGTGGTAACATGTATTAGTATCTGTCGTTGTAACATGTATTAGTATCTCAAGTGGAAACATGTATTAGCAAGTGGTAACATGTATAAGTATAAGTCGTTGTAACATATATTAGTATAAGTCGTTGTAACATATATAAGTATCTGTCTTGGTAACATGTATTATTTTCTGTCGTGGTAACATGTTTTAATATCTCAAGTGGTAACATGTATTAATATCTGTCGTAGTAATATGTTTTAATATCTGTCGTAGTAACATATATAAGTATCTCAAGAGCTAACATGTATTAGCAAGTGGTAACATGTTTTAGTATCTGTCGTGGTAACATGTATTAGTATCAGTCGTGGTAACATGTATTTGTATCTGTCGTAGTAATATGTTTTAATATCTGTCGTAGTAACATATATAAGTATCTCAAGAGCTAACATGTACTAGCAAGTGGTAACACGTATTAGTATCTGTCGTGGTAACATGTATAAGTATCTGTCGAGGTACAAAATGTAACATGTATTAGTATCAGTCGAGGTAACATGTATTATTTTCTGTCGTGGTACCATGTATTAGCAAGTGGTAACATGTTTTAGTATCTGTCGTGGTAATATGTATTAGTATCAGTCGAGGTAACATGTATTATTTTCTGTCGTGGTAACATGTTTTAGTATCTGTCGTGGTAACATGTTTTAGTATCTGTCGTGGTAATATGTATTAGTATCAGTCGAGGTAACATGTATTATTTTCTGTCGTGGTAACATGTTTTAGTATCTGTCGTGGTAACATGTATTGATATCAGTCGTGGTAACATATATAATAGTATCAGTTGTGGTAACATACATAATAGTATCAGTTGTGGTTACATATATTAATATCAGTCGTGGTAACATGTATTAGTATCAGTCGTGGTATCATATATAATAGTATCAGTTGTGGTAAAATACATAATAGTATCAGTTGTGGTAAAATATATAATAGTATCATTTGTGGTTACATATATCAATATCAGTCGTGGTAACATATGATTTATTATAGTATCAGTTGTGGTTACATGTATAAGTATCTGTCGTTGTAACATTATTAGTATCAGTTGTTCGTCACATGTATAAGTATCGGTCGTTGTAACATGTATTAGTATCAGTTATTCGTCACATTGTTAGTCTCAGTTGTTCGTCACATTTATAAGTATATGTCGTGGTAACATATATAATAGTATCAGTTGTGGTAACATATATAATAGTATCAGTTGCGGTTACATATATTAATATCAGTCGTGGTAACATGTATTAGTATCAGTTATTCGTCACATTGTTAGTCTCAGTTGTTCGTCACATGTATAAGTATTTGTCGTAGTAACATGTAATAGTATCAGTCGTGGTAACATATATACTAGTATCAGTTGTTGTAACATATATAATAATATCAGTTATGGTAACATATATTAATATCAGTCGTTGTAACATGTATTAGTATCAGTCGTGGTAACATGTATTAATATCAGTCGTGGTAACATGTATTATTATCAGTCGTAGTAACATGTATTAATATCAGTCGTGGTAACATGTATTAGTATCAGTCGTGGTAACATTTATTAGTATCAGTTGTGGTTACATGTATAAGTATCTGTCGTTGTAACATTATTAGTATCAGTTGTTCGTCACATTCTTCGTATCAGTTGTTCGTCACATTTATAAGTATATGTCGTGGTAACATATATAATAGTATCAGTCGTGGTCACATGGATTAGTATCTGTCGTTGTAACATTATTAGTATCTGTCGTTGTCACATTATTAGTATCAGTTGTGGCTACATGTATAAGTATCAGTCGTGGTAACATATATAATAGTATCAGTTGTGGTCACATGTATAAGTATCAGTTGTGGTAACATGTATTAGTATCAGTCGTGGTCACATGTATAAGTATCAGTTATATATATATATATGGTAACAACTACTGTGTCTCGTGTGGTAAAGGATGTTGTTCAGTATCTGGCTAAATAAAATGTATTGTGTCAGCTTTTATTAAAATATTTTCTTTCGCGGTTTTATGCACTGTTACTAGGTTATGTGCCTTTTCATGTTTCATGTTACTGTTGATGTTACTGCTGAGGTATTTTAAAGCATAGCCATATGATCACTTACATCACACCTGTTAGGGAGAAGAAATTCAAAGAAAATAGGCCCGTATCTCTACAAAATGGTTTCAGACAGCTGTCTTCAAAAACATGTTGTTTGATAAACGCGTACAGAAATATGATATTTTTGGAATCAGAATAAGACACCAGATGAATGTGAAACATTAAAGACAATCAGGTTTTCTCGAGCGTTGTACACATGTACAATGGGGGTCCCTCCACTAACATTTAGGATCGCTGTAGTTCCTTCATTGTCTAACAAATATACAAAACAAGCTTACTATTTCTTTGTTAAAGAAATGATGTCAATGAGGTTTGTATAGCTCGGTAGGGTGAAGTTTAGTTTTACACGATACAGACATTGTACATACATTTGTATATTGGGATAGATATAAACGCTGATACAGGAAGCAGATTCCACCGCGTCATCCCTTGTAGTACCGCTCATGTATCATACTATTTATCAGTTCATCAGTACAAAAATGTAAGTTCATGTAGTACCTTGTATATATCGATGCATTGTATGTGTCTGAACATTGTATTATATAAGACAGTACAGAAGTACATTATATATGTCAGGATTGTGTATTGTATACGTCTATACATTATGTATGTGCTCTGCTCCTCATTATATTCTAAAAGATTCCTGACGTTTCAACCTTCGCCAGGTTGGCATATAATTTGTAAGTTTAATGTGAGAAAGTTGAAGTCATTTAATTTTTTTCATATAATGTGAAATATCTCCATTTTAATACGCATATCAACATATAGTTTAAGTTATTTCCGTGTTATGTTGTCATTTCTTAGAGGATGGACGTAAGACGCACACATGTACAAGGAGTACTCCTCTATCTGCAGCCAAGTCAATTTGGGAAGGATAATCTTGTGATCTGGTATCAATTGCTGAAATCCAGCATCTGGCCAAACACACAAATGGCGTCGGGCAGGTAAACAGCAGATTGTCTGAAGTTCCTATTTCTTTCATAGGCCTTTAATCTAAAAATAATAAAAACAAAAATATGCAGTCTATAATTAGTGAGTTCAAAAACAAAAATCAGTCTATAAAACTACTATTACACTACAAGTATTTAATATCAAACATTTTTTTTTTTTTTAAATGCCATTTCTACAAAGGCAGTCCAAACAGATATATTCTGTAATTTGTTCTCGGGGGCCCCTGTGTTCCTATACATCTTTTTGTATTCTGATAACTTTTGATGAGAACATTATAGTTCACCTACACGCTTCTAATGCATACTGCTCTTCAGAGGGACGATTCTACCTCTGGTTGGTTTTCTTAATCATAAGGTGTTGCATATTCCTGTGATCAAATAGATCCTGGCTGTGTTCCAACAAATACACAACTAAATAACG